CCTTCTGGTCTCACTGAGAAGCTCTGATTTCCTTGTCCATGGGCTCTTCTCCAGCTGTTCCCTCCAGACTGCCAGGGCAAGGACTCATCCCTAAGAGCTCTCTGCCAGCATGGGCAGCAAAGCAAACCAGCTGGAGGCTCTGCTCACCTCCTTCTCCCTTTTATCAAGGCAGGAGGAGGAGTTGCCCTGAGGGACAGAGCTGGAAACCCACCAGAGAAGGGAGCAGGATGGACACTGCACAGGACATTTTTCCCCATCTACTCTGCTCTCGTGAGACCCCACCTGCAGTGCTGCCTCCAGCTCTGGGCTCACAACATGAGAAGGACACAAACTTGTTGGGGTGGAGTCCAGAGGAGGTCATGAAGGTTCTCTCAGAGCTGGATCACCTCTGCTCTAGAGGCAGGCTGAGAGAGGTGGGGGTGTTCATCTGGAGAAGGCTCTTAGGAGAATTTAGATCCCATTCCAGTACCTAAGGGGTCTCCAGAATTGGAGAGGGACTATGAACAAGGCCATCGAGTGACAGGAGAATGGGGATTTAAAGTGGTAGAGGGCAGGGTCAGGCTATGTATCAGAAAGAAATTCTTCCCTCTGAGGTGGTGAAACACTGATACAGGCTGCCAAGAGAAGCTGTGTCTGCTCCATCCCTGAAAGTGTTCAAGGCCAGGTTGGACATGGCTCTGAGTAACCTGGTCTAGTGGAAGGTGTCCCTGCTATATTGCAGGAGGGTTTGGAACTGGATGATCCTTGAGGTCCATTCCAACTCAAAGCCTTCTATGATTCTGTGATATGTGGGAAAAGCCCTTGAGCCTTTTGCATCCAGGATGCGAGGCTTATGTACGGGGACAGTCCACATGGAACAGAGAAACTGGTCCCCTGTTATACAGCTCAGCCAACTTTTCCTCCAGAGCCCCCAGCTTGAGGACCCGGATCTTGTCCTTATTGTTCTCGGCAATGGCCGCCCAAGCACTCATGGTGTTGTTGTTGGTCTTGCAGCAGGCACTGGCCCAGATGTGGCTGGGTACATTAACCCTCCCATCAGCGATGTAGGAGGTACCAGGCACAGCACCCACAATGGCATAGGTGGTTTGACAGTCCTTGCTTTTCTTGGGCATCGTTTTCTGCTCATAGATGTTCCATTCGCCGTTGTTGAGTGCAGTGTTCTGGGGCACTATGTTGGTGAGGGTGAAGGTCGCGTCCCTGCCGTCCTGGGTGTCATGATGGGAAGCAGGGTTCAAATGGCCACGGTCCAAATCCTTAAGTTTAAGGTAGTCTTGGTAGACAGCCTGGCTCTCGCTGATATCATCTTGGGTGACTGAGTAAGTTTCTCTGAGGGTTGCCTCTGTTTCCATATCTTTGGGCAAATTGTCCCGTATCAGCTTGACAGATAAGGAAGAGGAAAGAAAACATGTTAGTATTGGGGACGGGAGTAATGGAGCAAGTCTCCCTGCAGCAGAAGTGTCTGAGTGTCAAGATCTAATTTCTTGTCATCTCATTGTATGGAAATGTATAAATCTAGATAAATCCTATAGCTGCCCCTCCTGGATGAACACAAGAGCTTTTAAGACAAAAGAAGCTCAGAATGTGACAGCTCTCCATTTGACTTGTTGTAGGGGTCGGGTTTAAGGAAGGATGCCAGAGGGGCATTCTGGGAAATGAAGTCCCAAAGTACTCCCACCCATGGGCAGTGACATACCCATGGTGATTGGTTGGTAAGGTCACATGGTATGACATGTTAACCCAAATATAAGGTGTTGTCTCATTTGAATAAAGAGGATTTGGCTTTGAACCCCCAACCAGCTAACTGGGTCCGTATGGTTTATTAACTTATTATATTAATAAAGCCATAACTTGTGACCTTTGTGATCCAACCTGCAGCCTGTGCTGAGAATGTGGCTGGATACATGAGACAATTAGAATTTTCCACTCGTAGGTTTGGTAAGAAACCTTCCCCGACATATTGATTCCATTTCATCCTGTCTCCACACCCCACATCTGCCCAGAGCTCTCCTCAGATCCTCCCACCCCATTCTGTCATTCTTTGATTCCATGTGTGGCTGCTACAGGTGTACCACACTCCTGGAACACCAGGGTTTGCCTCCTGTAATCCCAGACACAGGGAGACGTGTTGAGAAAACAGTCCTAGAGGTGAGGTTTCCCAGGGGGGCTACAGGTCACTGCAAGGATGAAGGTTTTTTTGACCTCAATGCAAATGGGATCTGCTACTGCAGTCCTAGTATGTGTCTCAGAGCTGATCTGGGACAGGGAGTATCTTCTGCAGCCTCACTGCAAAGAAGTTAGCCATGATCAGCCTCTTCAAGAGCTCATAATCCCCAAAGAGTCCTGAGGAACCCAAGTACTGAAAAAGGACCTCTGGAAAAAGTTATCAAAATCAAAGAGCTTGCAGGAGGCCTGGCTCCATGGTCCAGGAGGGAAAGGACCAGGTTGGATGGGGCTCTGAGCAACCAGGTCTAGTGGGAGGTGGCCCTTCCCATGGCAGGGGGGCTGAATTGAGATGATCTTTGATGGTCTTTCCAACACAAATCCCTCTATGAGTCAATGATTCCATGAAAAGAGTGAAGCATTATCCCCCCTAAATATAGAAATTGCAGTAGTGCAATATTATATTAGTTCTTTGAGTTCCAATGAGTACAAAGTGCAAATGGATTTTTTTTTTTTTTTTTTAGAACTCAAACACCTTTCTTTTCATCTTTGGGGAAACATATTTATTCTTCCTCTAGAACAAGGCATATGGCTTTCTTCTATTGTCCATGAACACCTAAATTCCATCCTGCTGCTCTGTCCTTAGCAATGACCTGAACTTCCTCTCTTTCTGTTCCATAATTCCCTTGGTCTTTTTTACTGAAAGTCTGAAGGACATCTGGGAGAGCTCTGTTGTTTGTGGAGATCTGAGTGTCTGGTGGATCCTTCTGAACCAAGCCTGAGGCAACAGTGATCAGGGGCAACTGGCCATGGCTGGAGATCACCCTCTTCTGACTGGACTGACACTGATGCTCCTCACTTTTCACTGCCTGAAATATCACTCAATACATTCCCCAGGGTTCACCAAACCCTCTCCCCACTCAGTGTCTGTGCCAAGGCTTTTTCCCTGGGTCATCTCACCCAATTCTGAGTTTCTCCTCACTTCTCTCACATCACTTACAAAGACAAATGGAGTCCTAACTGTGAGAAATTAAGCTCTGTCAGGGATGCAAAACAGCTCAGGGCAAAGTGGAGATCAGAATTCAGTAGGACTCTTGGTCCCCCAAATTTAGCTGCTGTTGGATGCCTTTTCCCCATCACTTGATCTCCCACCACAGCAGGGCGCAGAGAGGGGCGTCGGTTTGACTTTGAATTGAATGGAATTTGTCTTGATGTTGCTCTCAGGTCAATGCAGAAAACTGGGCACCTTTGGGATAGCAATCCTCCTCCTGCTCCTGCTGCTGTTTGAAATGCATCAGAGGAATCATGTGGTGCAGGTGTTTGAAGTGAGATGAGATGAATCCCATCCAATGGGTCCATTTGCAGGTGTGTGTATGGTGGTGGGAGGAAATAGAGACGTTTGGTTAAATGCTGCAGTTCATCTTTTAGTGACTGCAGAGTGACATGCTGTAAGAGAGGACACTCACCTGGGGCTCCACCATCCATAATGGTGTAACTCTCTTGCTAGTGTCAAACTGGTAGATGTAAGCAGAGTACACGGGAATACGCTCCTTTTTGTCATACAAGGTGGCATAGAAAGGCTGGTTCTTGAAGGTCTGGCAGATCCAGGCTGGGTTCTCTGGCAGCAGACCATTTGTTGCAGGCATTTTCTGGTAGAAAAACTCATTACATGTATTTGCAAAGGACTCCACCACCTCGCCGTGTCCCAACCAGAGGCAGCTCGCCCAGACCTGCAGCAGCAGCAGCCACAGCATCGTGGGAGGATTTCAGGTGAAGGGCTCTTGCTCCCCTGGAAGGCAAATGCAGAGGGACACT